GCTGCTCTTTAAAGCCACACCAGGAGCTGCGCTGGTGCTGCCCAGGTGAGCAGAGGGTGGCCCTGGGCAGGCAGGGAGAGGCTCCAGATGTGCCACACACATCTGGGGGCTGCAGGAGGTGTTTGCAGCCCCCAGAGCTGCAGATCCCCCCCTGCAGCAGGGATGCCCCAGCTCGGGCAGGAAGGAGCAGTGCCCTGGGTGCTGCTGGGGTGCAGAATTCCCAGGAGCTGGAGTGAGGAAATGGGGCTCGGAAGGCAGAAAATCTGGGAGGTGGGTGATGTGCTGCGCTGATTTTTGCTCTGAGAGTAGCACAGGCTTTATTTCTGTGTCATCAAACCACAGGAAATTGTGACAGAGCTGTGTTTTCTAAAGGTGAGTGTTCCTCTAAACAGATAAGTTTCTGGGGCTGGCTGCTGACACTTTTGGCAGCAACAGCAGAGAGGGTTGGAGATGTTTTCATGGTGGAAATTAAAATAGAGGAGCTCTGATTTGGGAGAGCTGAGAAAACGCTGTTAAAATCTGTCACTTCACATCCACCTGTGTTTGTGTGATGAATATCACATTAAAACCTCAGCAGGGAAGAGAAATAGGGGCAGCCAAGAGTCAGTTTTCATGGAATCCTGGAATGGTTTGGGCTGGGAGGGACCTCAGAGCCCACCCAGTGCCACCCCTGCCATGGCAGGGACACCTCCCACTGCCCCAGGCTGCTCCAGCCCCAGTGTCCAACCTGGCCTTGGGCACTGCCAGGGATCCAGGGGTGCCACAGCTGCTCTGGGAATTCCCATTCCCACCCCTCTGCTCATCCTGGAGCCTCCTCTGGGCTCTCTGCAGCACCCAATGCTCGAGAACAAAATTCCTGTTGATCTCCAAAGCCGAATGTCACTAATTTTAGGTGCATTCCAGGACAGAAAATTCCCTTTTCCCTTTTAAACCCTGGTGGCAGCAGCTGCTCCTCTGGAGCTGAGCTGCTGGAGACCAGCCCAGGCCACCCAGGGCAGGGAGGGCTGGGCAGGAGCTGAAGGTGCCCACTGGGCTGGGAACCTTCACTGGGAGCAGCTCCCAGGCTTGGGAGCAGGATCCAGTCTCTGGGAGCAGGATCCAGGTTCAAGGAGCAGGATCCAGGTTCTGGGAGCAGGATCCAGGAGCAGGGAGCAAGATCCAGGAGCAGGATCCAGGTTCTGGGAGCAGGATCCAGGTTCAAGGGGCAGGATCCAGGTTCTGGGAGCAGGATCCAGGAGCAGGGAGCAGGATCCAGGAGCAGGATCCAGGAGCAGGATCCAGGTTCTGGGAGCAGGATCCAGGTTCTGGGAGTAGGATCCAGGTTCAAGGAGCAGGATCCAGGCTCTGGGAGAAGGATCCAGGAGCAGGATCCAGGTTCTGGGAGCAGGATCCAGGTTCAGGGAGAAGGATCCAGATGGAAGGAGCAGGATCCAGGTTCAAGGAGCAGGATCCAGGCTCTGGGAGCAGGATCCAGGTTCAAGGAGCAGGATCCAGGTTCAAGGAGCAGGATCCAGGCTCTGGGAGCAGGATCCAGGTTCAAGGAGCAGGATCCAGGTTCAAGGAGCAGGATCCAGGTTCAAGGAGCAGGATCCAGGTTCAAGGAGCAGGATCCAGGTTCAAGGAGCAGGATCCAGGCTCTGGGAGAAGGATCCAGGAGCAGGATCCAGGTTCTGGGAGCAGGATCCAGGTTCAAGGAGCAGGATCCAGGTTCAAGGAGCAGGATCCAGCAGCAGGATCCAGGTTCTGGGAGCAGGATCCAGGTTCAAGGAGCAGGATCCAGGCTCTGGGAGCAGGATCCAGGTTCAAGGAGCAGGATCCAGGCTCTGGGAGCAGCCTGGAGCAGTGGGAGGTGTCCCTGCCATGGCAGGGGTGGCTCTGGGTGGGATTTGAGGTCCCTCCCAACCCAAACCATTCCAGATTCCACAAGAATTCCCCACCCCGCGATGAACTTCTCAGTGTTCCAGCCTCAAACCCAGGAGTGCTCAGATAAAGAGCTCACAGTGAAAATCAGCACAAGGAGTCATTAATTAACAATTAAGTCCTGTGTGTGACCCTCTCCATGCCTGCTGTGTTCCCCTGGCTGTGAACACTCCAGGGAAATGTTCTCCTGAGGGACGTTGGGGACAGGAGCAGAGGAGCAGAGTCCTGGCTCTGTCCTGCTGTTTCAGCAGCTCCTCGTGCAGCTTTTCTTCCACAACAAGGCACAAACAAATCCAAGGAAGCCTCCAGGTACCTGCTGTTCCTGCAGGGGCATCCCCAGCAGCTGGAGGCTGTGCTGAGCTCCTGGAGAACATCCCTGAGCTGCCACCAGCCCCTGCCCCAGGTGCCACTCCTGCCCCGGGCTCCTTTTCAGCCTGGATGGATTAGAACTGGTTCTGATGTACTTCCTCTTCCAAACCCACAAACAACAATGGCTGAGTGTTCTGGAGAAGGGTTTGCTGAGCTGCTGCCGTGGATTTAAAGCTCTGGGAAACCCTGAGAGCCACCCAAGGTCACCTTGGATGACAATGCCCCATTCAGGTGGGACATGGGTGTCTTCCTTTTCCAGGGGCTGTGCTGGGGCTGTCAGTCATGGATGAGGAAAGGGATTGTTCACCAGCCCAGGAGGAGCTGGAGCTGCTGCAGAGAGCCCAGAGGAGGCTCCAGGATGAGCAGAGGGATGGAGCAGCTCTGCTGGGAGGAAAGGCTGGCACAGCTGGGATTGTTCCCCTGCACAGGAGAAGCTTTGGGCTGAGCTCAGGGTGGCCTGGCAGGGCCTGGAGGAGCCCCAGGAAACCTGGAGAGAGACAATTTCCAGGGCAGGGAGGGACAGCACACAGGGAATGGCTTCAAAGTGAACAATTACAGGTTTAGATCAGATAATTAGGAGAAATTTCCTCCCTGTGAGGGTGGGCACAGCTGTGGCTGCCCCTGGATCCCTGGCAGTGCCCAAGGCCAGGTTGGACACTGGGGCTGGAGCAGCCTGGGACAGTGGGAGGTGTCCCTGCCATGGCAGGGGTGGGACAAGATGAGCTTTGAGGTCCCTTCCAACCCCAAAATTATTTTATGGTTTGATGTTGCCTGGCTGCTGAGGATTTGGGAATGCAGAGCTGGCAGGATTCCTCTCATTAAGTGATTTACAGGTGGATTGGAAAGGGAAAAGGACCCTTCGGCCTCTTGTGTGAGCCTGGCAGAGCAGAGGCTGTGGCTCTGCTGGAGCTTCTGGGTGTCCCCATCTCCTGCTCCTGCAGCTCTGGCAGCCTCGGGGCCGTGCCCATTCCCTGGGCAGTGCCAGCACCTCTGGGGAAGAGCCTTTCCCTAAAACCCACCCTAAATCCCTCCTGGGTCAGCTCCAGCTGCTCCCTGGTGCTGTCCCTGTCCCAGGGCAGAGATCAGAGCTGGGACACAGCTGGGGGTGAGATCTGAGCCAGCTCCACACACCCACCGAGCAGCTGGGAGCCCAAGGGGGCTTTAAGGTGCTGCTGGGGATGGACTCAGCCCTGGCTGGGCTGCGGTGGGAGATGAGAGAGGCTCTCCACATTGAACTGATGCTTTGGGAAGGCTGAGCTGGAGCAGAACTGGGCAGAGCTACAGAATAAATTCGGGATTTATTAAAGGATCTCCTCATGGATCCACTTTGGGCAGCACCAGAGCCCAGCCAGGGCTGCACCCAAATGACCCAAAATGGCCCCAAAATGCACGAGCGCTCCCGGGGGCTCTCCCTGGGATCAGTTCTGCTCCATTGGCACCTTGGAGTTCATTGTCCCATTCCAGCTTTAGCCCAGGCAGTCCCACCCTGCTTGTTTTTCTCTCTCCAGCCCACGCTGTTTGTGCTCCTGGGCTGAGATTTGGATCATTTGTCCTTGGTGCCCAGCTGGAGCAGGAATTGTTTTGTCTCCTGCTCTGTGCACAGAGCTCACCATCCCATAATTTGAAACCCAGACCCACACACTAAAGCAGCACAGAACGTGGAAAATATAAAAGCTAAAACTTCAGGCATCACCCCCAAGCTCACGCAGGTTAATCCCTCACTGAGGAGGGGAGCCAGGAAAGGGAGACAGAGGAAATCCCATCTTTATCTGTGGATTCATCAAAGATATTTTTTTTCCATTCAGGAGAGAGGGGGAAAAGTGGGAAATGGATTTGTAGGGAATTCCCCAAGCCTGACAGAAGGATCACACACTTTGGGCACCTGTGTGCAAACCTTGAGATCAGAAATGCTGACTTAGAAATGCCATGGGATAGGACAGACATTGCTGAGAGAGAAATACAAGTTTCAAAGGATGGCCTGGCAAATAAGGCTGGATCCTTTGGAGAAACAGAACTATGAAAGATGCATTACAGTGGGACCCACGAGGGGTAATTTTAGAAAATCAGCTTTAAGGCATTGACAGCATGGTGTGCATAAAGCTGATAGGCCAAGAAACACTCAGAGTGTATTGTAATTAGGAAATAATTGGCTTCTGATTGTGATGGTGTGAATTATAACATCTGTATTGTCTTACCCTTCACATGAGACTGCAAATGGAATAAAAGTTTTTAAAAACACCTCTCAGTTACTATTGTAAATCAGGTGAACTTGGTGGGCAGAAATGCTGATGTCTGACTCCAGTTCAGAGGCTGAATGATTTCTTTATTATAACTGCGCCATAATACATTAAAATACTATTTAAACGAGATACTAAAACTACAAACCTACTTTTTCTATCATATTTAACTCACTAACAACCGTGCCCCTCTCTGAGAGCCCTGCCCCAGGTGGGTTGGATTGGCCATCAGCTCAAACAATCCTCACCAGAATCCAACCAAGCAACACCCCAGGGAAACAATTCTCCACACACATTCCACATGGGAAAACAAGGAGCAGAAATAGAAATTGTTTTCTCTTTCTTCTCTCTATGAAAAAATCCTGAGAGGGAGAAGAATGTGCCTATAAAAGTCACTCCATCTGTGGGTCAGAAAAGAGATTAATCTGATGTTTATCTGATGGCATGCCCTGATTTGCATCCTTTTCTAGCCCAAAGAAGGAAGAAGTGCCAAGGACAGAAAATCCAAATGCTGCTGTTGTCCAACACCACGGCCCTGACCCTGCTCCTCTCCAAACTGCTCCAGGAGTGCCTGGAACAGACCAACAGCTCAGCTGCTGCTCAGGAGGGCAGTGCCAGCGACAGCCTGGCCATCATCTACGTGCTGCTGATGCTGGGGCTCTTTGGCTTCTTCACACTGGGGGTGATGGTGAGCAACCTGCGGGCGCGGCGCCTCCAGGGGCCCCGCGACCCCTACCACACCTACATCGCCACCGACGCCTGGCGCCAGAAGGACAGGGAGCACTTCCAGGCCAAGGTCATCGAGAGCTACAAGCTCTGCTGCGTCCTGGAGAACCAGCTGGCCGTGGAGCAGCCGGGCACCAGGATCCCTGAGGAGAAATCTCCCTAGAGAAAAGGGGGGATGGATGGAGCCTGGCTAGCTCAGCTGGGACTCTTAATCCCAGGGTGTGGGTTTGAGCCCCACATTGGGCGCCAAAATCTGTCTAGGTTCGAAGACAGGAGTCTGTGCAGGAAGGCAAAAGTCTCCTGTGAAATGAAAAAGGTAAACCCCCTCCCTCCGAATTACCGCACTTTTAAAAATGACTTTCAGGCAAAGATAAGGGAATGGGAATAACAGTTCTTTACTAGGAGAAAAACTAAATAAAAATAATAATAATAATAATAAAATGTAATTAGTACAAACGAAACTAGTGATGGGGTCAGAAACCTGACACCCTGAGGTGTCAGGCTGGTAATAGTCCAGTTAAATGGTGGCTGCTCCTCCTGGAGCGGCAGATGAAATGCCGCTGGAGCGGTGATCTGTAGAAGGGTGGAGTTTCCTCTGAAGGTCTGGCAGTAGCTGGGCCTGGTCTGCCTCTGGGAATCCATCGATGTGGCTGCCAGTGTCCCAAAAATACTGATTTTATGCAGGTAGGGCTGCTTGGCTCCTCCCTCTGGGTGGAGCGTCTCACAATGGGATGATGTAACTTTCCCAGTCATGCAGTGAGTCAGTCAATGGCCCATTAACAGAAGATATCTCCCCAGAGGGAGACATTGTTCTTGGAAGGGATAAGAAAACTGCCCAACCTCCAACAGATGGCAATAGAATACATGCTGATCTTACAAGCCAGGACAGGTTTCTTCACGCTGGGGGTGATGGTGAGCAACCTGCGGGCGCGGCGTCTCCAGGGGCCCCGTGACCCCTACCACACCTACATCGCCACCGACGCCTGGCGCCAGAAGGACAGGGAGCACTTCCAGGCCAAGGTCATCGAGAGCTACAAGCTCTGCTGCGTCCTGGAGAACCAGCTGGCCGTGGAGCAGCCAGGCACCAGGATCTCTGAGGAGAAACCTTCCTAGGGAAAAGGGGGGATGGACGGCGCGTGGCGCGGGGACGATGCGAGTGGTGCCTGCTGTGGGAGCTGCTGGCCCTTCTGCAGGGCCACAAGGCTTGGCCAGGCTGGAGGAGCTGTGCTGCTGAAGCTGATGGAGCTGGGAGATCCCAGTGCTGCCCCAGCACCTGCCACCGTGTGGGAATCACAGCGAGGCAACATTGGGATTCCCACGGAACACCACAGACTCATCGGCTTCACCTTCTGAGCTAGGGCTTGCTGCCAGAGAGCAGGGCTGGGTGGGATTTGGGGAATTAATCTGCCCTGGCAGGGTGGGCAGGCCTGGCACAGGGTGCCCTGAGCAGCTGGGGCTGCCCCTGGATCCCTGGCAGTGCCCAAGGCCAGGTTGGAGCAGCCTGGGACAGTGGGAGGTGTCCCTGCCATGGAATGGGATGAGTTTGATCTCCCTCCCAACCCAACCCAACCCAACCCAACCCAACCCAACCCAACCCAACCCATTCTGGGTTCTCTGATTCTCCACAAAGACAAATCTTGGTGTTGCTGGTGTGAAATTAGAGCCTAGTTAGGACCTAATTAGAACCAAACCTAGGACAGGGGTGTTAATTGGCAAGCATGGCTTAGACAATCATTTTCCAGAAAGATCAAATTCTCCCAAGAAACAGCAGCTGAAAGATTTAATTTGCATTTTTGTCCAGCTTAGAATAATGATTTTATAAATTGTACAGTGCTGTGCTAACCTGTTTCCTTCAGAATCATGCCCTTAGTGACAAAATATTAGGAAAAACTTCCCAATTTTTTGTCTGAAAAGTATTTCTGTGGAAGAACACAGACTTCGGAGGGAAACTTTAGTTACTGGGATGGGTGTGCCTCTTGGGGACATGGGTTAATGCTGGGTTAAGGACTGGACTCAAAGATCTTGGAGGGCTTTTCCAGCCTCAGTGATTCCAGGATTCTGATTCCTAGCAGGTCTCCCAGTCTGCTCTTGCTGGGACCAGTCAATTTAATTTCCTTCCTATGGATGGGGCTTGATCCTGGCAGCAAAATCCACGTGCAAAGACTGGGTCTGTGCCATGGACGTGGGGAACATTCCCAAATTTCAGTCCCAATTAATTATTGCACGAGCCTCGAGTGCCAGCCCCTGGTTGGGAAGGGAATTTCCACTGTGGGAAGAAGAATCCCATAATTTCTGCTGTTTAATCACCCAGAGGTGATGTCTGTGCTTAGCTCTGATTCTGTGGGCAGCTCCCAGGTGTCCATCCAAGGATCCAACAGAAAATCCAGGAAGGTTTTCCTGCCCTTCCCTCCTGCACAGGCTGGGTCTGAGGGACAGGGCAGCCAAATTCTGCTGCCATGGCACCAACATCCACCTGCCTGTGAGGAGGAGAAATCCATCTCCCCCGGACATTGTGTTCCCTGAAATAACAGCTTGGCCAGCTTGGAGCTGGTTTGGGATGAAGGAAGCAGCAGTCTGGGCAGGAGTGGGGGTTTTATTTCTGCTCTGCAGACACAAATCTCATTTTTAGCTGCTGAAAAAGATTGGGGGAGGCTGGAAAGAGGAGCAGAGCAGCTGCTCCCAAGGAAAGACGAGGGCAGAGAGCTCGGGGAAGGCAGCAATCCCAGCAGAGCCCTTCTCCAGGCACTTCTTTAGCACTGTACTTCCCTCTAAGTCATATTCCAGACGTGTCTGTGTTCCCAGAGCACTCAGGACACTCAAAATACACGGTTGGTTTTTAAAAATTATATTTGTATTGTGCCTACCATTAAGCTGAGGACAAGATCCACGATTTTGGTGTCTGGAGCAGCTTGGAAAATCTCCAGCAATTTAATTATCCCAGCCACTTTTTCCTCTGGAGGAACGAAAACCCAAGCCCAGCTCTGGAAAAATGTTGATTTCTCAGCTTGGGCGCTGCTCTTTTGGGATCTCGCTGTTTAGGACTCGCCCTGGGAGAGGATCTGCAGAGCCAGGCCCCTGGATTTGGCTTAACCTTGCACCAAAAATTGCCTTTAATGACATTAAACCCTTTAATTAGTTAAAACCTTCAATTCATGAAAATATTTAATGGCATTAAACCCTTGGAATGAGCCATTCCCAGGGATCCCTCCTGCAGCTCTCCCTCCATCTCAGGTATTTTCAGGGATTTTGGGATCATTTATTTTCATAGCTCCAGGGAGGTTATTTGTGAGGAGGGTGATGCTCAGCATTAATTGTACCCCATTTTTTTTTCCTTTTAGCAACTCTGCCTTTTTATTTAACTGAAATTAAAAAAGAGAGGAGCTCTGCTGTGCCACCCTCACCCCTGGGTGCCTGTGGTGGATTCCCACCTTGGGCTTGCACCTTTCAGTCCTGGAGTTCTCTTTTTCCCCTGGTTTTTTCGCTTGTACAAAGCAATAAAATACGAACTTCAAGCAGCGCTCATGGCCTCAGATGTTGTTTTTTCCTCCCAAACTGTTCTGCAGGCTCAGGGCAGGGGCAGATCCTCCCCAGCAGGCACCACTCACCCGATTAACCCGGGCCAGGCAGCTGCTGGCATCTCCCCTGTGGGAATCTGTGCTATTGATCCCGAGATTGTAGAAAGTCTCTGAGCCCTGCAGCCAAAGAAGAAGTTGTAATTAATCTGTGCTGGTTTCAAGGTTGTTTATTCTGTTTATCTCTAACATGTTCTGCTGCCCTGCCGCAGCTCTGTCCTGCAGGGCAGCGTGTGGGGCTCTGCCCTCAGTGGGATGGTACAAACATTAAATACCACAAACTACCTGTGCTGGATTTACAATAACGTGCCAATATCTGTCACCTACGTTGGACAGTGTGTCCCCAGCCTGAACCAACAGAAAAATGCCAACACCACAGTGAAACATGGAGGGCATGAAGAAGGAGAAAAAGGACAAGGCACACCCAATTTCCTCCATCTTGTCCCCTTTGGACCCCTTATCTAGAATCCTAAAATTTTACTTTTGCACCCGTGCTGTCGCTGTCGAGGCAGGACGGGAAGGAGAAGACTCTGACCAGAAGGCTGTGAGAGTAAAACTCCGGTTTATTCAAAATACACTGCTCTTTTATACAGAGCTTCGTTGGTCCTGAAGTGAAAACAACTCACCGCATTGGTGCAGAGTGCTTGACACACAGTGCTAGAACTTAACTATAAACAATGTGAATAACAAGAGAGATAAAGAATTATTTACATTCTTTTCCAACTCTTTCCCAGGCTTCTGCCTGGCTAAAAACTCTCCGTTTCTCTCTTTGACTGAATCTGAGACCCACACTGTGCCACACTTAATTATTACTGATATCAAACACTCAGAGCTGGTAATTCATCCTGTAAGATTGAAAACTCTTTTCCATGGACAGAGAGGTGGGTCCAGAGGAAGTCATGGAGGTGTTCTGAGAGCCCAGCCCCAGGTGGGTTGGATTGGCCATCAGCTCAAACAATCCTCACCTGAATCCAACCAAGCATCACCCCAAGGAAACAATTCTCCAAACACATTCCACATGGGAAAAGAAGGAGCAGAAATAGGCACATTCTTCTCATTCTGAGGGCTCTGGAGCCAGGCTGGGAGAGCTGGGGTGTCGCTATTGGACATGAAATGAGCACACAGAATTTTGGTGAGCTCAAGAGACAAAAAGAACCAATTTTATTTCTGACCTGGCAATACACAGAATTCCAAAAGTGACAGCGGATTGGAGGGTGAAATTGCCACCTCTCCAACCACACTGGTCAAACCAAAATCCATCAATTCCCTCCTTTCACAAAGAAGAATACAAAACAATCATTATTTACATGAACAGGGAGCGTGAGTACTCCAGTAGAAATATGTAAACATCAGAAGGCTAAAGAAGTTCTATGAGAAGTTTAAAACATTCAAAAGAACTATAAAAGAAAACCTAACACTTTTAAAATCAGGGCAACACTGAGGTGGGTGCTCACCTGGAGAGGAGAAGCTCCAGGGAGAGCTCAGAGCCCTGCCAGGGCCTGAAGGGGCTCCAGGAGAGCTGCAGAGGGACTGGGGACAAGGATGGAGGGACAGGAGCCAGGGAATGGCTTCAAAGTAGGATTTGATGGAATATTGGGAATTGGGAATTGTTCCCTGGCAGGGTGGGCAGGGGCTGGGATGGAATTCCCAAAGCAGTTGGGGCTGCCCCTGGGTCCCTGGGCCATCCCAATCTCGAATCCAATCCTGGGATCAGTTCAAAAAGAAATCCACTCTCGCAGAGCTGTGAGCTGAGGCTCAGCTTTGGCACAGCCAGGTGCCAATTCCAGGGGAACATATCCCAGGAAGGACTCCAGGTGCTGATCTCCAGGCTGCCCAGAGCCGGGGAGGTGAATCTGTGCTGCTCTGAGGCAGCTCTGCAGCCTGACGTGCTGAGAGGGGGAGCTCAGCCTTTGCATCCCCATCCTGCAGAACTCCCAGCTCTTCATTCCCACCTCATGGAGAACTTGCACCTGCAGCAGGTGGGGCTTTATTTACCAGCAGAAATCTTCAGGGCTGCAGGGATGGGAGGTGGAACCCCTGGGATGGAACAGTCCAGCTGGAAAATCCTTCCCAGCCTGTCGGGGTCATGGGGCAAGACCCCAACAGTGTGAAAATCCTTTTTCCCCAGCCCAGCTGCAGAAGAAGAGTCTGGAATGTGCAAAGCGAGTTTTCAAGTTGTTTATTTTCTCTTATCTATAACAGTTTCTCTCTGACCTGCTGAGGCCCAGCTAGCACAGAAGCCATGGCAGTCCCCCTCCTGCCCCAGGCAGCTCCCACATTTTATACCCAAAATTACGTGTACCATGTTTACAGTTCCCATACCAATACCCAAAATCTACGTTGGACAAGGTGTCCCTATCCTAAACCAACAGAAAAGTGTCACCATCACACCGAGACATGGAGGACAAGAAGAAGGAAGAAGAAGCTGGGCACGCCCAGATTCCTTCATCTTGTACCCCTGGATTTAATTCAAAAAAAATCCCAAAATTCTATTTTTCCACCCTGTGTCAATTTCTTTATTACATCATTCAAACCCTTTTTGCTTGTAACTCCTCAGATAAGGTTGGCAGCCTCTCCCACAGCTAAAATCAAATCCACAGGGTTTTTTTATTTGCTGCCAAGGTTCCTGAGCTCTTTGCCAGGGGCTGGAGTCACCCAGGACAGCCAGAGGGATGCTCTGGATTCTGACACCAGCCAAAGGCTCTGAATCTGCACAAAGTTGCCCTGTAACAATTTGAGTTATCAGGGCTATCTTTATTTGCAGCTGGCTGGGTCAGCTAAACCTGGAAATTTGTTCAGAG